CCGGAGCTAGGCCCGTGGGCTGGGCGGGGGCGGCTCCGCCGGGGTCCTGTGACCCCCAGCACCCCCCCCCGCCGGCAGGCCCCTGGAGGAATGGAGCTGGAGACCCAGCCGCCCCCTTGCCCCGGCCCTGGAAGTGTCTGCACTGGGAGCTTTAATCCGGATTCATCTTGGGGGGGCGGGACCCGGGAGCCGATACCTTGATACCCTCCAACCCCACGCCAGGCGCTTGGGCGGGGCTGGGGAGAAAGAAGTGGGACCTGGTGATTCTGGGGGACGGGCATCTGCAGGGGTCTAATCTGGACTGGGGCCAGTCTGCAACTCAGTTTCACCAGTGGCGGTGGGGGGCAGATCCCAGGATTTTCCAGCCCTTCCCTGAGTCCTTGGCTTTAACCTTGGGCCGGGCAAGAGGATCTTCTTGCGCCCCCAGCAACCAGGGCTGGGGGCTTTCCAGCCTGGTACCATCCCTAGAGGTGGGGGGGCAGGGGGCGACTGGGGGTAGCCACCAGGGCGCCTGCACCAGGCTTGTGTAGGTGCAAGGTTGGGGGGTGGGTACGTGCGCGCGTGCGCGTGTCCCAGATGCCTCAGTTCTGGGATACAGGACCCCTGTATTCTGTGTGTCCCGAATGCCTTGGTTTCAGTGTGTAGGGCACCTGAATTCTGTGAGTGTGTATACATGTCCGTGTGCAGGACACCTGGGTTCTGTGCATGTGTGTCCTGAATGCCTGGGTTTGTGTGTGCGCGCGTGCACCTGTCCCAGGTGCCTGGGTTCTGCATGCATGTGTTTGCATGTATGTGTGCACACTCATGTGCTCTCAGATGCCTGGTTCTGTGCTCAGCCCCCTGCCCCCCACCAGGCCGGATGCATTGGCGCCACACACCCCTTCCTCCTCCCGGCAGGAGATATCCGCTGGCTCTGGCCTCCCTGCCCTGGTGGGGGGGACTCTTCCTGTCCCAGCTTAAAGCTTCAATGGAGTGTAGGGGAAACTGAGTCACAGGTTCAGGGGATTGCTGAGGGGAAGCTTGCAACACTGGGACCCCTTGGGGTGCCAGGGCCAAGCCTGTGCCCCAGGGAGGTTTGGCCCAGATGGAGCTCCCCTGGGGGTTGCAAGCTTTCCCCAGTAATGCCCTGGGAGGTATTAACCCCTTCTTGCCCACAGGGGGAGAACAAGGTGACCCAGTGCCAGCAGGAGGCAGAGGAGGTGACTCAGATCATGCTGGACAACTACTCCAAGGTGCTGGACCGTGAGGGGAAGCTCCAGGATCTGGACAGCCGGGCTGAGGAGCTGCTGGACATGGTACTGGGGCCGGGGGGGGATCCGTAAGAAGAATCACCTTCTGCCATATAGGGCTTAGGACACACAAGAGCCAAGCTCTGGCTGCGGGCAGCAGGCGGCAGAAGTGTCCCCTGCTAGGATGGTCCTGGTCCTGGGGGCCCCTCAGTGGGTGCTGAGAACTTTGCACAACAGTGCCCCAGCGCCATGAGCTTCCCCAGAACAGTGCCCCAGGGCTGTGAACTTCCCCTCAGCAGTGCTGCACATGCTGATGACCTCCTCTGGCCTCTGCCCACAGTCCACCACCTTCAGCAAGACAAGCAAGACGCTGGCCCAGAAGAAGCGCTGGGAAGACAAGAAGCTGCGGCTGGTGCTGGTTGGGGTTGTGGTGGGGGTCCTGGTTCTCATCATCCTGGCTGTGGCCTTGGCCCTCTTGCTGCCTGCTGCTGGGACCCAGGTGTCAGGGCAGGCTGAGGTCCGTGCCTCTGCCCCCATCAACGGCAGCAACTGACTTCTGAAACACAACCACTTTTGGTGTGGACTTTGCGGGTGGGGGTGGGGCCTGGAGATGCCATGCCCCCTTCCTAAATTGGCCCCACTCACCTGGGAGCAGGGGGTTTGCGGGGACTGTCAGCTTCCCACCAGCAGTGCCTGGCTTAGTCCTCCCTCCACCCCCTGTGGTGCCTCAGTTTCCCCTGCCAGGGCCCTCTTAAGTGAGCTTTCTCCCAGCAGTGCCTTAATACCACCCAGTCAGGACCCCAGCACTGAGAGCCCTGACTAGGAGGCCTCAGTACCTCAGTTTCCCCAGCTAGGGCCCTTGAAACCTGTGACATTCCCCAATGAAGTGCCTCGATACGTGCTCCCGAGACAAAGTGCCCCTGAGCCGGGACCCTGGTGCCGTAAGCTTACCCCCAGCAGTGCCCTAGGTCAAAGGCCTCACTTGCTCAGTTTCCCCACCTGGGGCCCTTTGAAGACTGGAAGCTTCTCCACCAGCCCTGGGAGTGCTTGGCCAGAGCCCTGACACAACAAGCTTCACCCCACCAGTGCCTCAGCCAGTTCTCCCTTAGTGGTGCCTCAGTTTCCCCACCCAGGCCCCATGAAGGCTGGCAGCTTCCCTATCCCAGCACTGTGAACTTCCCCGAGACAGTACCCTAACCCTAACTTCCCTCCCCCTGCCATGAGATCCTAGTGCTGCGAGCTTCATTAGAGCAGTGCCCTCAACTCTGCGCTGCCCTCCACAGCCCAGCACCAAATAAAAGGAGTTTTCTAAGCTGGCATTTGTCTGTCATGCTGGCCAGGGGCAAAGAGCACCCAGATGCCT